CCATGCCAATATTAACTTCGTATTCACAAGATAGGAATCAGACCATTTTATAATTTCGGACTTTATTTCACTTTAAAAATAAATCCTCCAGAGCAACAAATCTGAAAAAGAAAATGTAATACTCTGCAATAAAATGTTTGAGACATGTTAAAATAACAAAAGAAGGATATTCTTATTTATTTGGGGCCATCCCCCCCCCCAAAGAAACCTTAGAAATGTGGCAGGGATCGGGATCGAATCCAGGTCATCCCTCTCACAAGGGCCTTTGCTTAACCACTACACCTAGTGTGCTACACAACTTTTGGTGGGAATTTAATACATTGTATAATTCAGCCCTATCTAAAGAGTACTGCGCCCTCTGTTGATATGATGATTGCCACCGGCAAACCTTTAGTAAACGTTAGTTTGCCGGCATTACCTCCGGCAAAATATCCACTATCTTTTTTTTTTGGACGCATATAGCTTGAGTTAACTTGAGAAACTCCAGCTCCAATGCTTATTTATCGCATTAAATTAGAGCAGGAGGCAGAACTACGTTAAAAAAAACTAGATCGTAAGATGCCCGAGATCCGGGACCGTGTATATCCCCCAGTGTTGCAAAAATGGTCCATTTTCCCTCTATTATCCCAACCAAGATTCTTTAATCCATATCTCATGCAGTGAAACGCCACTATATACAAATGTATAGTATTAGCCTTGAACGTGGCATTGTATAACGAACACCACTATAACAAACATTATTTGACTATAACAAATAATCCCCATGGGCTCCCAAAATAGTAAATTTTATTATAGTTAATGCAAAATCAATATAACCATGCTATAACGAACAACCACTATAACGAATACTGTCAGTCGACTCCACCATGTTTGTTATAGCAGCGTTTCACTGTTTGTAACTCCAGCTCCAATGCTTATTGCAATTAGAGCTGGAGGCACAACTACGTTAAAAAATCTAGATCGTAAGAGGCCGGAAATCCAGGACCATATATCTCCAGTGTATTCCAAAATAGTCCATTTTCCCTCTATTAATCTAGGATGCCACTTTTTAGGTTAACCTGAATTCAGAGTTGTTTTTTTTTTTTATAAGACAAATTAAAAAATGTTGGATTTGGTCTGAAACATAAAAAAAAACACTTTTTGAAAGGGGGTAATTTTAAGGGTAGTTTCAGGGTTTTTTTGGTAATGTTTCAGGCTGATTATCCCAACCCAAATTCCCTAATCCATACCAAATACCATGCAGCAGTCATTCATGAAGCTAATAATCGACCTCAAACTGAACAAAAGAAAGAGTGAAAACATGTATTTCACTGACAAATGTTCCATTTGACTTGATCATCCATCCTTGCACTATTTCATGCCGAAGCATTATAGACTCTGATTTTGTTACCAACAGACTTTGAATGATGTTATTTGACCCCTGAAAATTGAGAATCAGCCAGAGCAGTCCTGTATGGCGGTCGTGTGGAAAGGATGCAACCGTGTGGGATGGCCGTCACTACAAGCAGTCACTTCTTGGTAAGCCAAATGTGATCATTTATTAAGTTGCCCCATTCATGGGGAGGGGGGGGGAGGGGGGGGTTTGACTTTTTTAGAGGGAGGGGAGATGGGGCAACTAGAACCAACTTTTCAGCCCTTTTCACACTAGAGCCTCTCAACCTGGGTTGAACTCAACCCTGGGTGAACCCAGTGCCGCCCTGGGTTGAGTTTTTTATTTCAACCCTGTGTTCAACCCCACATCATTTCACACTTGTTTCATGCAAATCAAGCTTGTCATGCTCAGGTACTACTGTTTTGAACCCTGGCCAAAATTTCAACCTGGGTTGAAAATCTCAACCCTGGTCTGGAGCAGGGTTGAGTTCAACCCGTGGTGAAATCAATCTCAGGGTTGACACATGGTTGAAATTCTTAAAGTGTGAAACGATACATGTTTTCAACCCTACGCCAACCCCGAGATTTGTCTAGTGTGAAAAGGGCTTCACTTTAATAGAGAGAAAGTAAGTTGAGAAACCATAGTCGCAAGCCTACTTCTGGACCCCTTTCCCGCAAGACTCATGAAAATCCACTTTGTTCACCAAGCTAGCTGGCATGTTTAGAGTAAAGAATAACTAGATGTATATGTGTTTTGAACTCATTACAAGTGTCCCCAAATAGGGTAAAGTCACAGAGTTTCGTGGCTGTCCTTTAAAGCAATATGCCTTCAGAAACCACCAATGTGGATACAATTGGGACCAGCCATGTTTACCCATCCTATCAAGATGGTAAAAAGAGAAAACAGGTCACGATGAAGCCATTTTTGGTGAGAGCAGTGGCCCAAAACATTATTTTAAGATGTTTTTCACAAATTTAGCATCAGAGATTACAGTTGTTTGAGCTGGAAGGCACAAATACCAGCTGTGCAAGTCAGAGTTTGGGATGTCATAAGGTTTAGTTCAACAAAATAATATTTAAAAGACTAATCATACAATTTTGCTAATAAATGGCCTTATCCCAGGGACTAAAAACATGAAAAAGGATGAATGCATTTATTTCTGCTCATTTCAAAATTATACATTAAATTTGAATAGAATTAATTACAGTAGAGTTTGAAAAGTTTCTTGAAAATTTATAATTCTTTGTTAAACCTAAAAACTGCAGTGATTAGTATAATTGTTTTCATTAATTTCAAGTTGAAATGGCAACCAAATAGGTACAACAATGAAAACAGAGATCTGGAATTTAATTCTTGGAAGGGCAAGGACATTTCAAGGAGGCAGTCAGGCAAAAATCAAGGCAACAGAGGCCATAGCTTCCTGAAATTCAATACCATTGATTTGAAAATTTGTTAAAATGTTTGGCAACCTTTCACACTTGAAATTTGTAACCTTCAAAGAAAATAGTACAAATTTCCATCAAGATAATCCCTTGTGAGTAAAGTTTGCAAAACTTAGTGAATATTAAAAGACTAATTTTTAAAGTAATCTTGATTAATTTTGATTGTGTAAAGGTATATTGTGCATAGGATCATTTGCTCTTTGCAGGTTTTTTTTTTTTTCCTGAGGCAACAAAAGTGTTCAATATTTTAAGTAGGGTGCATAACAAGCATTCTGTTCAAGTCTTAGCTGAGTGGTTACTATGTAATTTGGAGAAAACAGAGAAAACATAATGCACAAGTCTTTGGATCTCGTAACTGGATTCTGTAGGCACCCCATTTTGAAACCACCTTCAATGTTTGTTTTCTGACAATACCATTTCAGGTGGAATTATTTCACAGGGTGTTTGTTACCAGTCCTATAGTTCTTCACTTTGAAGTTTCTGTCATTAAATCGGTAGGTGCTTATCTGGGTAATTGCAAATGATCCTACGTGGCTTTAAAAAGTGAAGTTAACAGAAATACAGAATAATTAAACGTACAGGCTGTAATTTCTATTATCAGAAAATGTAATGTAAAGATAGCACAGTATACAATGAGTAGATGTATATGTTCTATTAGGAACAAATTGAAGAATATACACATAAAGGGAATTTACAAAGTCTTGTTGTGACTACTAAGATCTACATACAGTGGTGAATTGTTAAACTCTTAAAAGTCTACTTGAACATTTATTTTTTTTTACAAAAGATTTATACTTTGCAACAAATAAATAATTGTTGCTAAAACACAAACTGAATTGATGATTTTTGTTCATTTTCAAGTTTTCTGAAATGGATTGTGACGAAAAACGTGAATTAGAAATTTGCTATTTGGGACCTTTTCAAGGTGGCAGTCAGGCCAAAATCAAGGCAACTCAGGCCGTATAGCTTTCTGAAATTCAGCTTCAGTCGAATTGATTTCTAATCATTCAAACTGAAGGGATATTTGACAGTCTGAGAACAAATGTCAACAAAATTTGAAATTAAGATAAAAACATTCTGATAAACATGAGTCTTAATTCTGTGAATTAAGACAGGAAACCAAATTAATTTTCACTCATCTTTAGCAAACATTTCAATGAGTAAATTATCTTCAATATACATGTAAGCGTATCGTAAATTCAAATGTGTAAACGGAAACTGCAAAAAGTAATGTCAAAACTGAGTAAATAAAGGCTTATTGAACAGTAATCTGAGTACTAACTGTCGTGCTGAACGTACATGCTTAAAATGTATATCACAAAATACTTCTCAAGGATGAAGTGCTTGTAAAACTGTCTCAAAAGTTCTATTAAAAAGCACAATACATAATGGATTACATGTAGATTTTCCATTAGGAACCATTTTCAGAATCCCAGGGAGTTTTCGAAATCTTGGCTATGTCTCCAGCTTTGGCTTGTACTATTTAAAGCCTCTGATGAGGTCAAGAAATAAACCTCATGAACACTGTCAACACAATTCTCCATTCTGTGAATGAAGATCTGAAACCACATTAATAGAATGAGCTTTGTCACTCATCTTTAGGATACATTTGGACAAGCCAATTGACTTGTAAAGCAGCGTTTTATTAATTAAATCTGTACATGAAACTGCAAAAAAGTAACACAAAATTAACTGAGTGAATAAAGGCTTATCTTAAACACTAATATGCACATATTTGAACTGAGTAATGCATTATCTTGAACACTAATCCTAACACAAAATTGAACTGAGTAATGCATTTGTAAAGTTATAATTATTCAAAATAAATGTTAAGAATGTTAAATCTCAAGAACGAAATGATCCTAAACATTTCTCAAGTCTTGTTTATAAAGATAGCAGAATATATACAGCAACTTCCATCAGGAACAATTTAAGAATCTTAATTGTGTTTATGAAATCTTGGCTTTGTCCCTGGCTTTGACTTTGGGATTCATGATTTTTGTACGCTGATGTAAACTTTATATTGGTCCATTTTCTTCATTACAGACACAAAATCCTGTCACACAAGGCCAATGGTTGGTTGGTGCATTTTCACTGAGTTTGAATGTGGTAGGATTCTTAGGAATCTAGAGCCAGAGATGAAGCGGAAGCCACAAGGAAGCCGGGGTTTTATAAACACCACAGAAAGTTGGTAAGTATTGGATAGATTGATGGCAATCCATGTACTGGGTGAGGGAGGGGTGTTGGGTTGAGGAGGCGGGGGTCATTACATTCAAACACCTCAACACCCACTAAACTCCCCTCTCCTTTCAAATTTACCTTTTAATTTAGACAAACAATAGATTCAAGTCATCATGCATGTAAGATTAAAACAAATTGTCCCCCAATCAAATCTAATGTAGCTGTAGTCAAATCACTGTTTATATAAGACTTTGTATAGTAACAAAATGTAATTGATGCACTGTTTATTTAAGAATTTGTATGGTAAAATGGTTCACATCAGAGGGATCTGGCAGTTTGGATTTTTGAGGAGAGATGTGATATGACTGGGACATGAATGTTGATTGGTGCTGTAATGACTGGACAATTTCATCCTCAACATTTGCTGTTGGGATGATGATGATTGCTAGCCAATGTCATGTTGGATGACATCACACCTTGTGATACATCTTGATGAAGTAGTGTTCAGCCACTGCCAGCTGGCCATTGGATGTGAATGTGATTCCAAGTGGGAAACACAGACCCTGATCCACGCAATCAAGAAACCTGCCATCTTGGTCATAGTGGTGAATATGACCAGTGCCAGCTGCACCTTGGTCCACTGCAAGGTAGATGCCTGAGCTGTCACAGCATACACCATCACACCACACTGGCCCACCATTGATAGTTGGTTTGATGGTGGTGTGTATAGAACCTTTACAGTCGGTAATATCCACTTTCTTTGTGTGGAATCCACTGACCACAACTCTATCAGTGTCGTCATCAACAGCCAGGAATTGAGGTGGAGTCTGCACTGGTATGGTGTGTAGGATCTCACCATCAGTGGGTCTGTGTTCAGTCCACACCATTCTTTCTATGTCTCCTACTAAAATAATACCGTTTGTCCTGACTGTTGTGCTCTTTAGGTTCACTTGTGTCTCCTCAACCTCACTCGGTGCTACCGTTGGGAATTTGAAGTCAAGAGTGTTGTCCTTCATGTTGAACACCTTGACATACTTGCTTCCATCTTCCAACACAAGCAAGCGTTGCTCAGGATTGTGGATGGCTGCAACTGCCAGTGGACCTGTGGGTAAAGAAGAACTCAAATGTAACATATGCACAGTATGTAAATGCACTGTCACTATTCTCAGTCCCCATGAAATACAACATACCTAATGAATACATGGCCTGCCTCAAAGCCCGGTCATGTACAAGTAGTACATCAACATTGTGTTGTCTCCAACCACCATACATGTTGTGAATAACTGGCACGTCTTGGAGACTCTGTTTGCAAATACATGAACATGTGCCTGTACCTGTACCTCGATGTACATGTACTCTCTGTGCTATTCTCATGGTTCAAACCTTACAAATATATTTAGTCTTGTATTTAACTGTTTATTTTTTAGCTAAAAAAAGTTATTAGATTTTCAAATGAAGCATTGAACAAAATATAGAGCAATTTTTAGTTATCAAAAGTTTAAAACTTTGAATTAATAACTCAGTTCTTGCAAAGTACACTAATGCCTGCTGTATGTCAGAATTTACTTGAGGTTTGCATTTGTCTATAAAAAATGGGTGGTTGGACGTGAAACTATGGTACAGTACATTCGTCAGTTGTATGTTTTAGAGAGAAAAAAGGAAGAAATGAACTTAAGCATTTTTAGTCCAAGCGTTCAAAAACTATTATTTACTTGTCAAGTAACTTCTGGCTTAAATGCATCTTTTCCAAAGTTTCCCGACATTGACTTCTAGTCTGATGAGGTCAGCATTATGAAATTTGAGAAAGTATTTTTATTGTCCAAAGAATATTTATGAGCAATTTGAAAAATTGTTGACAAATGGTCTTTAAATACCAAGAAAAAAAATATAACTTATTGAAACATGCCGCTAGAGCTTACTTAAGCTACACTGGTGCCCTCATGGTTTTTATTGGCTGTTTTGGCAACTGGCCGAAACTGCCTTGTTTTCGTTAAGATTTTTTTTTCTTTTTTTTTTCCAGTCATTTTTGCCCATAGCATTTGTACAAGTTTTTTTGTTACTGGCACTTTGGCCTCTAAAATCAACCGGATTGCCTTTATACTCGGCACACACTTAGACCAGCATCTGCAGTTGATCCTCGAACATTGACGTCATCATGTGTCACGTGACGTCACATTATATGCAATTTTTCTGTTGTGACCATTTTCTAGCAGAATTCGGCTAGATCTGACAGATGGGCTCTATCTCCACAACTGCAGGTCCGATTGGGTTGAAAGTTGGTATTTACCTAGACCAGGATGTCTTATAGATGAATACTCGACATCATGACAACGTCATCATGTGACATATGACGTCATATAAAATAAATATATTTTGAAGGCCTATATCTCCTGAACTACCGTACAGGTCCTATGGGGTTAAAAGTTGGTATGTACCTAAACCGGGATGTGTTATAGATGAAAATTGAAGTGACGTCATGATGACGTCATCATGGGTCACGTGACATCACGTTAAAGATTAATAGATCTTTGAAAATCTATATACAATCAACCGTAAGAGACCTGAACTTGACGTTTACAGGAATGGATAGAATAATCCAGGGTCTTCATTTTTTTTTATATTATGTGCAAAATCACGTGACCCTTCCTTCCGGTTGAACCGGAAGTGCCTTGAAATTTAAAATTGGTGAAAGATGTGAACTTGCTTTCAACGATGTATGCTATGGCTTAGTTGTTATTTACAAACAAAATATAGTTATAGATGAAAATTGATGTGACGTCATCATGACATTATGACGTCACATGTGATGTCAAAAATCAAAGCCCTATGGGAATGTAATCACATATTATATTCACTAGTTCCTGGATGTAACTTATACATGAAACTTTCCATGGTCACTTGCCACAAAAAAAATCCAAAACAGCCCTGTTTTTGTCCACAAACATAAGTCTAGGTTTCTTTAAAGTTATTTTTTTGTTCTTGTTTTTTTCTTTTTCAGACTTTTGTCCATAGCATTTGTACACGTTTTCATTGTGCCCAGCACTTTGGGCACTAAAATCAACCCGATTGCCTTTGGCACACGCTTAGACCAGCACCTGCTGCTGTGTCATCATGACATCACCAGTCACGTGACTTCACAATATAGGTTCATATTTTGAAAGCCTACATCTCCAAAACTGCAGGTCCGATTTGGTTGAAACCTGGCATGTACATTTTTAGAAAGGGATGTGCTATAGATGAAATTTAAGTGACGTCACGATGATATAAATGTGACGTTACGTTATAGATTAATGTATGTAGATCTAATCTATGAAAATCAATATAAAATCAACCGTGAGAAACCTAAACTTGAGTTTTGCGGGAATTGATAGAATAATCCAGGGTCTTCAATTTTGATATTATGCGCAAAATCACATGACCCTTCCTTCTTGTTGAAACTGGAAGTGACTTGTAATTTGAAATTGGTTAAAGATGTGGAATTGCTTTCAATGATGTATGTTGTGGCTAGTTTATTCTAAATTAACGGTGACGTCATGAAATGTTAGAGCGCCCTCTAGCAGCAGGTTGTTATAGTTAATTTCAGATGAAAATTAATGTGACGTCATCAGGATGTCATTACGTAACATGGGATGTAATAATTTAAAGCCCTATGAGACTGTCATCACATATTTATATGCCACAATTTAGTATACCTACATCCTTCCTGGATGGTCTTGAAAATATGTCACATATGTCGAACAAAAGTTACCGAAACAGCCCTGTGTTTGCCCACAAACATAAGTCTAGTGTTATTTGTCATTGAACATTTCCTGAATAAGTTTTATTGTAGTAAACTGCTTGTGTTTTCAAGTTACATTCATTATATTTTTAAAATTGTTTTAAATTTTATTTTAGCCACATCCAACAGCGCAAGCGCCAATAACAGGATAGATAAATGGAGAGAAGACAATGAGAAGAAGTTACAGTTTTAGAGGTGGGAGGAAAAGCCCAGAAGAATATTCTGGGGAAAACCCACGGAATCAGGTAGGGACTGAAAACCCAATCCACATATTGTCCTAGGCGGGATTCGAACCCAGGTCACAGCGGTGGAAGGCGAGGAAAGTACCGCTACGCCAACCTGACTCCCCGATCATTGCATATCCGGTAACCCTGGAAGCAAAGGTCAAACAGATTTGTGCCTGGGAGTCAAATACGATGCTCAAGGCAATTTCAATGTCTACCACCTCACATCAAAAGAACCTTATAAATCTGAACGTTAATGTTGTCAAGATTTGACATTGAAGGGGCACATTGTCCTGAAATAACAAAATGTTTGTTTTAAAACTGTTCAAACAAGTTTAAACAAGCTTTATACTGTATATGTGTCCATGATGTCAGACGATTTCAATGTACACAAATATATGGTATCCTGTGTGTGAGACTATGTGTACGTGTGCGACAGGATTCACGCTGCACCTAAACAGCTCAATTTTGAGAGTCAAAATTTATGACCCCCGAAATTCATTCTTGCAAGAATAACACACACACTGCCAACTTTTAACCCTAACCCTCAGGAAGCATGCATCCTCTTTCAAAATCCTCAAAAAAATTGCACTTTATGTTCAAATGAAGGATACCCAGCACCTGAATCCTTCAAAATTGTCAGACAGTCCTGCCTCAAAAATACATCCATCCTCAATCCTCCAAAATCCTCTTCTTCTTCAAACACCAGTCATCCTCAATCATCCAGGAGGGTTTAGGAAGGATGTTTGTGTGGACGTTAATATGCTCTTTGTAGCCCAATGGGGTGCTTTCCAGGATGCAGTATCTCTTTAAATCACTCTTTATTTGATAATCTGTGACGTCATTGTACATGTATATCACCATTTTTGTCACATCTTTGTACAACAGTGCATGTTTTACAATGTTTTGTCTTCATACAATGTACTTTGAACCGTAAGGGAGAAATTCCATTGGTTTTAAAACTCAAGCTGCTTTCGCAGTATTTTGAATTCACCAAAAAACTTTGACAGTTAACCCCAGAAGGTTAACCCCTATTTTGCTTGGTCTTAAAAAGACCAAGCAAAATAGGGACAATAAAGGGTCCCCAATTGTAAGCAAATACACACTTGGGTGTGTGTGGGTAGGCCTATTTTTGTGTTTAATGGCACACTGCGGTATTTTCGTAGGCCCCAAAATTTTGTGTACAAAAAAAACAATGTAGGCCCCCAAATTTTTCGTAGGACCTACTTGTACATGTAGGCACAGTGCTTACTGTGCCTATTGGGTTATCTGGGCCTGCATTATTGTCCATAAAAAAGCAAAGCACCAACACGAACACTACAGAAGAACAAAGAGAAAACCGAAGGCTGATCTTGATGGGGGCTTAATAAAGGGATCAGGCCTAGAACACTCTACTCACAGGGCAGATTGGTTTCTTTGTGAAACAACCTAAAGGTAACTTCGCTCTTTTCTAAAGGTTACAGACCCCCTAAAGAAGAATTTTTTTGGTGACATGAAGAGTTAAGTTGCTGGGAGAACAAAATCAAATTTGCACTGCCAGCGCATCAATTCCTTGCCAGTTTTTTTATTGGTTTTCATTCTCAGTTGTCAGATCTGCATGTGCACATGGAAGACTTAATTTCCACACAATTATGAAAGTTTGTGTTGATGGACATGTGCATGAAAGAAACTTACGTTGTAGGGGAATGGTTCCCTTGTGTTGTCCCTCATTGCTGCAGATGACCACTCGTTTGTTCCTATAGTCTGCCACAGCAATCTCACCAGGTTGAGTAGCAGTAATATCTACAACCCCATCAAACTTTCCTGGACCACTTCCTCTTTTACCAAACTCACGTAGCATCTCCCACTTGCCTTTGACGGCCAGCTTGCCCAGATTGATGTCACCAATCCTCTGACCCGGGGTGAAGCTCAGATATGAAAGCTTGGGATCAATCTGGGGAGGAGTTTGGCTCTTTGCTGATGATAGGAAAGAGGGAAAGCAAATCAGTGTCAGATGCAGTTATAATGATATCCTGGGATGTCCCTCGCGAATGTTGTTTACTTTGTAGCATCAATGTCAGTATTGACTGATGCTTATCATATGTTCTGTTGCGATCCTGCTGGAGTTGTTTGTTTTGTCAATCATCTTTGTTTCTTGAGTTGTTATCTAAGCTCTTATTTTATCCGCTTTGTCTGTTACAGCTTTCACAGTCTTTGTGACGTTCTGTGTAAACCTCTGCTAATTAAGCTTGTGGTGGAGTGGACAAAGAGTTTTCAAATCTTTTGATGTCTGCATGGGCATCAATTGGTGGGGGGTCCCCACTTTTTAAAGTGGTGGGGATGTCGTTTTCCCCTCCCCCACCACCACCCCTTTTCTGTCTGCAAATAAACGTTGTAAAATACGTATAGCTCAGAATATCTGAGTCAATGATTTCAAACTCAACAATTATGTTAAAATGATGATCTTGTGCTCAAAAATTGGTTAAAGTATTCAGCATATGCCTCAGATCAGATCACAGAGCATCTAGAATGCATAAATATTTTTTTTTGGGGGGGGCCACGCCATTAATTATGTTAAAATGATGATCTTGTGCTCAAACATTGGTTAAAGTATTCAGCATTTGCCTCAGATCAGACCACAGAGCATCTAGAATCCATACATTTTTTTGGGGCCCCCACGCCATTAGGTTTTGCTCTTTGCGCTCGCATTTGTTCTGGTCAAAGTATGTCCCCCACCCCCCTCTTTTGAGTAGCAATTGACGACCTTGGATGTCTGTGGTGAGACAGAAGCCTGTCCAGAGTCAGTGTAGTGATGTTTTGGTTTACAGTGGTTTACTACAGTTACAAGCTCAGCAGAGTATCTCTCACATGCCACCCTTGTGTTTCTGGCATTTAGACTCATCTTCTTCTGGTGTCTGTTTCACTGAACTAACCACCTTTTCTTGGTGTGAGACCTCCTCAAATATATCCCCATCAAATGGAAATTTGTTTTGAGGCCTTGAATGCGTGTCTCTGATGAGAGTACTGTCTCCAGTCAACACAAAGGGCAAGAAATCTTTGGTTGACCTCCATATACCGGCTGGTGTAGTATTTCTTCAGACATTCTGCACAACAGCTGTGCTGGCAATTCTTATGCTGTTTATATATCTGCCATGACAGATGTCACACTCGATGTTCTTTAGAGCTGTAGCCATTTTATGGGTATCCAAAGGGTATTTAAAAAGAAATTGGAAAGGTTATAATACAGCGATAACTTATTTTATTATAAATTAATAATGCACTGTCTATGTGAGTTTCAACCGGGCATAACAGACCAGTACCGGTATTTGTTTTCAATTGCTATTTTGTAACCAGAGCAAAGTTAATCAAGACATGGAATTAAAAAAATGGTGGTTGTTTTGTGGCCACTCATGTTATTACTCAATAGGTTTTGTTGGAACATTACCACTGTACATACTCTACATTTTGTTGTTTCAGGCAAACTGTGATTTCCTACTCTTGTATCGGTAAGCTAGCATTTAACCACATTCAAAATACACGAATGTAACTGACAACATTTGCTTACATCTTTTACATTCCCACCAAATCACTTAAAAACAAATTTTTCCAATTTGATGCAAAGAGCACAAATAGTTGAGGTGTTTGATGGGATGGATCCAGTGTACACCAGATTTACAAATCGCCCAATGGCAACTTTTGGCCTGGCTTAAAGCAAAGCAGAAGCCTGCACTTCTGTTGTGATGCGCAATATTGACGGTGTCAGTTGGTGCAAATTGAGCAGAACTGGCAGACACAGTAGTGGCCGCCACCGGGACCCACAACTCCATGTCCTGTGGCCCCCCAGGAACATCTCGGGTTAGCCTCTTCGCGCAGACAAAACTGTTCCTCCTCCACGTGCCATCCCAAGCCCCTAAAAAGGCAGGCAGCCATCCTCATTGTCTCCACATATTTGATCTGCTCACCTACGCGGAGAGGGTAACGCACCACATAAATGGCCATAAAAGTGTGGAATGCTGTCAGCCATTTATCGATATCAATTTTGTTTTTCACGGGGAAATCTGGTTTGCAGACGATCGAGCCATTCTCAAGTGCCAACTTCGGGATTCTCTCATGGATGATGACTAGAGAAGTCGCGGCTGTGTCATTAAATAAAAGCAGCAGATCAACGTACCTGTCGCTTCATATTTGTTTCCTAAACATTAATCGGGACTTGATAAATGAGGGTGCTTTGCCCTGACCCGACAAGTTCTGGTCTGGTCTAAGTATAAAGAATGGGAACTCAGTGCCGAGGCCGGTACAGGCTGGCTATTGCGAAGGTGAGTGACAGAAGTGTCATGCCTCGTATTACTACCAAATACACTAACCTGATCAGCCGTGTCTGAGTCAGTAAGTTAGAAATGTTCAGTGTTCATGGTAGGCAATGCTAGAGCCTTAGACTCACCCTGGATTCGTCGTTGGCGTGGTCCACTTCCCCTACTCGGTCCAGGAACTTGGTCAAGCTTCGGCTCCTCTGCTCGGTCCCAACCTTGCTGCTGGCATCCCACTTCCGGAGTCGTTACATCCTCCAGCTGTGACTGCCGTCCACGCACTCCTGACTGGATAGCACACAAACGAGGTGACCGGCGCAGCTTCCTGGCATCCTTCCCTTTCCCGGATGCTTGAGCTGAGGCTGACCGATTGGCTTTAGGCATCTTCAAAGGACAAGGAAACTAAAACACGTTTAATGGGAAAATGAAAGCTGAGAAAACATGGATGGCGTACACTTCAAAAGAAAATCTAAAGATGAGAAAATCAAAATTGAAAGCTGAGAACGTGAATAATGTTTCCACATTCATTTGCTGCAACGAAGTAGGCCTCACCACACGGCAACAGCCCAAGCATTGCCTCTATCCAATCACGTTACTCCTGGACTAGCCAATCAAACTTGTTAATACATTTTCATAAGCCCCAACCCATTCCTTAGGCAGGAAACCAGTTTGTGCAGAGTGTAAGAGAATTTATCGTTCAGTTGATAAAATTAATTCATCAATACTGCACTGTCCGTGTGAGTTTGGGCAAGAAAGACCAGTATTTCTTTTCAATTGCTTTTTAGCAGTCAGACAAAAGTTATCCTTTTTGAAACAGGACATCAAATAAATCCTGTCAAATTTTGAAGAGCTCTGACATTTTGAAGTGCTCTGATGGTTTGTTTCCACTCTTGTTATTACTCAATACTAGTAGGTTTTGTTGGAACATTACTACTGTGTGTACTCTTCGCATTTTGTTGTTTCAGGCAAACTGTGATTTCCTAAACTTGTATCAGTAAGCTAGCATTTAATCTCATTCAAAATATTTTCTTACCTTTTTTGAATCCCCAGTCTAATCTATTAAAGATGATGTTTATCACGTAAAGAGCACAAACAGTTGAGGCTTTTGATGGGGCAGATCTGGTAAAGATGGCGCTGGACAAACACAGCATCGTTATCAAGTCGTGTGACATGGTTTATATATATAGAGCTTGGGATTTTTGTTGTGCTGCATACGTATACATGTACAATCTGTATATATCGGTTTATCTGTGTACATATTTACTTGACACTTGAGTTTTGGACCTTAGATAGGTTCATGCATTCTATTTATATGTACATGCTGCACTTTGTAAAATTTCAATCGCATACACCTCACATACATTTAATTCCACTCAGTTTTTTTTTCAACCATCAAATAAAATAAGCTGTCAAAATATTTTGATCAAGTCCTTCATACATGTATTTCTCACACACAAAAGTTTCTTTAATCTTGTAAAAATACTGATCAAGAATTTTCAGTCTATCTGAAATTGGTCCATGCATATCCGTGCTACTGGGGGAAGTTGAGTGTAATGGAGTACGACAGAATTGACTGTACATAAATTTATAAGGGGCGACTATGTCCTGATCAGTTGGAAACCAAAACAAATCAAATGAGAGGAGTTGCCAAAAGTTACCCAAACAAACAGTGGTACACCCAATGGGGAGGGGTGGCTTTTAAAAAATAAATAACAGGACTGTGAAAAGTTTCGAATTTTCTTGGCTCTGTACTTAAAGATTCTAATTGAAGAATGTAGCTATAAAGACCATTGTTGATTATAAAATGCTATATAAACCAACTCAGAAGGATATGAAAACTGTCAATTCCAATCAATAAAAACAGTAATGTAAAAATAGACTCCTGTGATTTCTAAACCCAATGGACATCCATGACATGCAGATTAGTAAAATTTTTGTTGTCATCCAGTCCAGAGAATATTTTCCTCAATAAATCGTCTCGGTTTTCTTCTAAATATTTTCCACAGGGAGCAGCAGTGACTGGATCCCAAGTAGCAACTTAGAGGACATACCAGGCACAGCTGCAGCTAACAGGATGCCTAACTTCCCCCATCAAGACACTGTCAAGAGAGGATGGCTTTCAAATGAACAAGTAAGCATCTCACCCCTCCACCACCCCCGCTACACTCAATCAGCATGCGTTCATCAGGACTTGAAAACTGTTTACACTCAGGAATGAAGGAAGGGAGAGTCATCGCCAATAGAGGGCGCTGTGGCATATTTATTTGTTGGGGGATCTGATGAAAAGGTGAAACAACTGACATTGTCAGTGGCTCTGAAGACTTGCAGACTGGTCCAAGAAATCTGAAATTTATTTGACCAGCTGGAATCCACACATAAAAGTGTCTGCCTATTTTATGTGTCAAACAAAGTAATCCAAAAATAATAAGTTGATGAATATGTAATTGCCAAAACTTCTAGAAAAAAGTTCGTCACACAGTCATTAATAGTTAAACACGTGTGAAAGTTTGAACCCAATTCCACAGTTTCTGTTGTATGGTTCATCTGAGTTGTGGGATTCTGTTGGATTCAGGAGACTTCACTTTGTGGGTTTCTTTGGAGGTCGAGGTTTCCATGTGGAATAACAATGTAACAATTTCAAGGCATGATTGTTCTTTTTAATTTTTAGATGAAGAAAAGAGCTACTACATACAAAGAACTTCAAAGAACTACAGAGTGGTAAGTGAATTCTTATTCTGAATAAATGAATGAATTTATTTCTGTTCATTTCATTTCAAAACATCTGATTTTACAAGTCAATTTGAATATTTAATTGTAACAACAGAGTTTGAAAAGTGTCATCAAAATTTAATAATTGTTTGCCGAAACTCTAACTGCATGATGGGGTAATTCTTTCATTGTTATGAAGTTTGCTGAAATAGGTAAAACAATGAAAACAGAGGTATGGAATTTAATTCTTGAAAAGGAAAGGACATTTCAAGGATGCAGTCAGGCCAAAATCAAGGCAACAGAGGCCATAACTTCCTGAAATTCAATACCAATATTTGAACATCTGTTAAAATGATTGGCAACCTTTCACACGTGACAAATGTTTAACCTATCAAGAAAAATTGAAATTTCCCTCAAGATAATCCCTTTGGAGTAAAATTTACACAAGTCTTTATTCTGTGAATTACCAACTAATAGGATAAGTATTTTTGCTCATCTTAAGCAGACATTTTCATGATTAAATGATCATCCACATTAGTGTTTCATTGATACAAGTGCAAATGTACAAAGCTTGTAAATAATAACAATAAACATGATTTCTATGAAAAACTACAAAAATGAAAAAACAAATACGAAAGCTTTTTCTAAAAAAGAAACGGAGTGACTTTTTATAGACTATTTTTTAAAGTAATCTTTATGAATTTTCAAAGTGAAGTGTACATGTATGCTTAAAGGTACATTGTGCGTAGAATCATTTGTTTTTGCAGGTTTTTTTTTCTTTTCCGAAGCAACAAAATTGCTCAATATTTTAAGTAGGCCTATGGCGCATAACAAGCATTCTGTTCCAGTCTTAGCTGAGTGGCTACTATGCGTTTTGGAGAAAACAGAGAAAAAATAATGCACAAGTCTTTGGTTCTCGTAACTGGATTCTGTAGGCACCCCATTTTGAAACCACCTTCAATGTTTGTTTTCTGACAATACCATTTCAGGTGGAATTATTTCACAGGGTATTTGTTACCAGTCCTTTCTTCACTTTGAGGTTTCTGTCATTAAATCGGTAGGTACTTATCTGGGTAATTGCAAATGATCCTACGTGGCTTTAAAAAGTGAAGTTAACAGAAATACAGAATAATTAAAATTGTACAGGCTGTAATTTCTATTATCAGAAAATGTAATGTAGAGATAGCACAGTATACAATGAGTAGATGTATGTTCTATTAGGAACACATTTAAGAATATACATCAAGGGAGTTTACAACGTCTTTTTGTGACTACTAAGATCTACATATATACATTGGTAAATTGTTAAACACTCAAAAAGTCTACTTGAACATGAATCTTTACAAAAAGATCGATGATTGGTGTTTTTTTTTCATTTTTGAAGTTTTCTGAAATTTAAACCAAAAATGCAAAACAATGACAAAAAGAGAGGTGCAATTAATTTCTTGAAAAGACAAGGAAATCTATTTGGTTTGTAAGGAAAAAACTTCGATTAGAAATGTGCTATTTGTGTGGGACCTTTTCAAGGTGGCAGTCAGGCCAAAATCAAGGCAACTGAAGCTGTATAGTTTTCTGAAATTCAGCTTCAGTCAAATTGATTTCTAATCATTCAAACTAACAGTTTGAGAAAAATGTAAACAAAATTTCAAAACAAGATAAAAACATTCTGATAAACATTAGTCTTCATTCTGTAAATTAAGACAGGAAACCAAATTAAATTTCTTTCATCTTTAGCAAACATTTCAATGAGTAAATTATCTTCAAGATATGTAAGTGCATCGTTAATTCAGATGTGTATTAAAACAGAAACTGCAAACAGTAATATAACAACTGAGTAGCTACACGTACATTGTAAATGCTTACATTGAACAGTAATATGAGTACTAACTATTGTGGTGATGCGTTTGCTTAAAATGAATTTAAACGATATTATTTCACAAACTACTTGTAGTATGGTTTCATCTCAAGGATGAAGTGGACTTACTGTCTCAAAAGTGCACATTTGTTCCTAGTGGAACAAAAGTACATGTACAATATATACTGGATTACCTGTAGATTCCATTAGGAACAAATTTCAGAATCTCAGGGAGTTTACAAAATCTTGGCTTTGTCTCCAGCTTTGGCTTCTACCATTAAAAGCCTCTGATGAGGTCAAGATATAAACCTCATGAACACTGTCAACACAATTCTCTATTCTGTGAATGAAGATCTGAAACCACATTAATAGAACGAGCTTTGTTACTTATCTTTAGGATACAATAAAGGCTTATCTTGAACACTAATTGAAAACTAAATTCAAAAGTACATTGCATTTCGGTTTAATTAATCAAAGATCATTTAAAGAACGTTCAAGAACAACAAAATGAAATGATTCTATAAGTTTCTCAGATCTTTGTTATGAAAGATAGCACCATGTACAACAAGTTCCATGAGGAACAAATAAGAATCTTAAATGTCCCCGTAAGAACAATTTGGGAATTTTAATTGTGTTTGTGAAATCTTGGCTTTGTCCCTGGCTTTGGCTTCAAGCTTCATGATTTGTGTTCCCTAATGTAACTCCAGTACAATATTGGTCCATTTCCTTCTTAAAAGACACCAAATCCTGTCACCCAAGGCCAATGGATGGTTGGTGCATTTTCACTGAGTTTGAATGTAATATATAGGATTCTTATTAATCTAGTGCCAGAGATAAAACGGAAGCCACAATGAAGCCTGGGTTTCATAAACACTACAAAAAGTTGGCATTATTGGATAGATTTATGGCAATCCATGTACTGGGTGAGGGAGGGGTGTTGGGTTGAGGAGGCGGGGGTCATTACATTCAAACACCTCAACACCCACTAAACTCCCCTCTCCTTTCATATTTAACATTTAATTTAGACAAAACTATAGATTCCAGTCATCATACATGTAACATTAAAATCCCCCAATGAAATCAAATCAAATGTAACTGTAGTAAATACACTGTTTATATAAGACTTTGTATAGTAACGTGTGACATGTGATTGATGCACTGTTTATTTAAGAATTTGTATGGTAAAATTGTTCACATCAGAGGGCTTGGCAGTTTGTGTTTGTCGTTGGATTTTTGAGGAGAGATGTGGAAAAAGTGGGACAATGTTTATTGGTGCTGTAATGACTGGACAATTTGATCCTCAACATTTGCTGTTGGGATGATGATGATTGCTAGTCAATGTCATGTTGGATGACATCACACCTAGTGATATATCTTGATTGAGTTGAAGTCAGCCACTGCCAGCTGGCCATTTGATGTGAATGTGATTCCACGTGGGTTATACAGACCCTGAGCCAGGCAATCAAGAAACCTGCCATGTAGGTCATAGTGGTGAATATGACCAGTGCCAAGCACACCTTGGCTTACTGCAAGGTAGATGCCTGAGCTGTCACAGCATACACCCATGCAGTACCCCACTGGCTTACCATTGATAGTAGGTCGGATGGTGGCATTTGTTTTACCTTTTCTATCTGCTATATCCACTTTCCTTGTGTGATATCCACTGACCACAACTCTATCAGTGTCGTCATCAACAGCCAGGAAGTGAGGTGGAGTCTGCACTGGTATGGTGTGTAGGATCTCACCAGTGAGTCTGTGTTTAGTCAACACCATTTTCTTGACATCACCCACTAATATTGTTCCTCCCTTTCTCACTGCTGCACTGCATAGGTTCACTTCTGTCGTCTCGACCCAACTCGGTGCTACTGTTGGGAATTGGAAGGCAAGAGTGTTGTCCTTCATGTTGAACACCTTGACGTACTTGCTGCCATCTTCCAACACAAGCAAGCGTTGCTGAGGATTGTGGATGG